TGTGTCATGTAAATGTACCAATGTATTTCATGAAACCTCATTTGAAAACGTAATAGTATATTTGAAACATATTAGGAATAATACAATATGATTGTTACCAATAATACTTCGTATCATTGCAAACGCGACATAACAATTTTCGCACATCTAGAATTTTTTCGAGCATAATACGGCTAGTAAAATATTTGATGTGCCGATACTCCAACAATTCCGGATTTTCTCCAATACACTGGTCACAATAACGCGGTATCCTGCAACTGTTGACCCATATACGTACTTTCCCTTCGCATCACGTGAGATATCTCGGTTCACCACTGCATAGTTGATTGCCTATCCCAAATAACTCTGGTTTACCGCTGCATAGCTGATTGTCTATTCCGAAACAGCATGATTCTGTAGCAGTCAATGGATTAAAGTGATACACATCTAATGCTAAACAGCGCCAATATCTAAAAAAATAACATTTTCAAATATTCATCCTCTAAATAATAATAAATTTCAATCAACCATCACTTATATATCTAGCATACAGTTTATAAATTTCAAGTAAAGATTCTAACTTAACACGATGATTTATTTTCGTCAAAAATTAACAAAATATAGTTTTCGTTATATTTATAGGGTGGTTCAATAACTTTGGATATCTTATCCTCATGCGATAGGTTACGAAAGGTTCTCCTAAATCTATAAACAAATTTTGAAAAATTTAACAGCAGTAATTATTATAACTCGGGTTTTTGTGCATTTATGAAGAATTAAAGAATGTAACGGTAGAGACTGCATATAATATAGAAAAATCTATAAAATATCCAAAGTAGAATATTGCCCTGTTTAATTAAAGAGTTCCATCTACCGTTCTCAAACTGAAGAAAACTAAAGTTTTATTGCTTTCTTCTCGCTCTTCGCTTTTAGTTCATAACAGTGTAATAATAGAGCTTTGGTTAAAAGGTAAAGAACACAGAGAACTAAAGAGGACGAAGTACTTGTTTTAATTTTTAATAGATAAGACGAATTTCTACTGAAATTTCATTTCTTTAATTGTTTCCGTACAGATATAAATTTGCACGAAAGCCTGCAGTCTATTAATTGTGCACCAATAATTTAATATTCGCATAATAACATGGCATCACCTTTCGTCATAGTATCGAAATAAAAAGAAACGTTCAAGATGTTTAATAATTCTGAGAAAACATTGAATCTTTGAAAGATAAATAACAGGCTCGAACGCCATGAATACCTAACTGCGAAATGATTTTCACGCAAGAAACTAGTGAGTTGTGCGCGTTTTAATCCGACAACGGAGCTGCTCGTCTGACGCCATCCATCATATTCTACTTGCATGCGCTAAAATTCAATTTAATCGAGCAGCGGAGCGGCCGGGACTCGTCGATAAAAACGGGATGAAATTTTAAGATCTTTTTTATTTGCAGTATGCTTCGTTGATAAATATTCTGCCCTGATGGAATATAATTCATTGCCTTTTGTTAAGAGAATGATACAGTTCCACGTTTCCACGGCAGCAAAGTGATTATTTCAATCGTGCAGAAATCGTATTCAGTTCGATTTCGAAACCGGTGCGCAACGCCGCACTGCAGATAATAAGAATTTCAATGCGATAAAACAGAACGGAGACTAATTCCTGTTCGAGTATTAATGTTCGAATGAGAAATTAGACAAATCTGGCTATATTCTTAAATATCTGGAATAAAATTTAGCAACAATATTAAATCTGATCGTTGTATATTCCTCAAATAGGCGAAGGCAAATTATATGATTTCGAAATGTTTATATTTTAAAATAAGTATGTTCATAAATTGTTTGATTTAAGCAAAAGTTAGGGGATTGATAAAAAGTTTGTAACCATTAACGTTTAGCTTTAAATATACAACGATCAGAAAACGTGATTGTAATTATTTTGAGTTCTCACCTTGGTCAGAATACTAAGGAAATTGAATTGTAAATTTCTCCTAGTTGAAAAATCGAAAACATTTCATATTTTTCTCTGCTAGACACTCTCCGACATTGCTTAATCGCCTTCATTAATATCTTTGCTTTTTACTTTCTACACTTTCTTTCTGCTAACGATAACATTAAGGAAAAAGGATTAATTTCTTCCTGACAGATGCTGCGTGCATACCGTTTTACCATGATAAAAGATGCAAAATGTTTGAATATTTATACCATTCACGTAATTTAATTATTGGTGAGTCTTTAATTCTTAGGAAAGATCAAATGTGTTATACTTGTAACTCTTCTAGTGCACTGAAAGATAATAATAAAAAATGAGCATATAATATTACCATTAAATATTCTTATAGATTCCTATTCGTTAAAAACTCATTGAACAATGACATCATAATTTCTATATATATATATTTTAGAACTTTAATGAACAATGAACAGTGGCAATGAAAATTAGTAAACTTTTTTCGCAGCTCTTCATCAATTATTCCTTGTGTGTGTGACTGTTGAGGTTGACTGATAGAGGAACGAGTGGATGAATTTGTAATAGAAAAATATATTGAAATAAGTATAGGTATAAGTATAGTGTGTGCTGATCCAGATCCTCACTCTTAGAGTGTTACAATACAATAAAAAGATATGACAGGGAGCACGTTCGTGTATTTATAGCTCTTTTGTTTTTAGACCTTGTAACCCAAAACAAAATTTATATTCAAGGGCACAATAATACGGATCTCCTTATCTTGAACTTTTTCACTAAATTCTATTCTCTTCGTAACAGCGGTCTCCAGGTCACGGATATACAAAAGAAAAAGATGTAGATTTTTTTCTGAAGTAATTACTTCAACAGTGACTATTAGATATTCTCAGCACTTTTAGAACTTTTTCCTGAGAGCGGCGTAATAATATATATATCTTTACACTCATAGTATAGTTGTAGTATACTACACGTATGTAAGTACTTGTTCTCTTAAGTAACAGGCGAAGGTTGGGCGTGGTGCGAGATTTCTATTTGTGTCTGTCTCAATTTGGGCAACTTTCGTACCATTACTCCTCTTTAAAAGCTTCGCTCTATGACATACCTTAAGTAATCAAAAGCCAAGTAAAATGAAACTTTAGTGACTCTAAAATAGTAAACTCAAATTTCACCAGGATCCACCCACATGCTGCAGTAAATGCAATTTTTCATTCAAAAGTAGCTTTCTAACATGATCGTATTACGGTTCGCAAAGTCTGCACAAGATACTTGATCTTGTAAAACTGATTGAACGTGAACTTGTTGAAAAACAATGTTTGGTGATCGAATTTGAAAAATTTCCTTTTTAGATGACATTAATATCGAGGACTAATTAGACAGCTTATTAACATCGAGTGCTAAAACCAGCATAGAGAAGAAACATTATTCGAGCGTACAGTACTAAAGAGCATTGATTATTCGTATTCAATAGTTGTAAATTGCATTTTGTGCGTCATTGTACGTAAAATACCTGTGCGTCGTCATAAGACGTCAGGTTAGTCGCGACAGGAATTCCGGTTGAATATACTCCCCTGGAAACGACGTACTCGGCCGCCCAGAAAGAAGAACGGTGAGGGAAAGGAGGAGCTGCGGAAAAGGTAATAGGAGTCTCGGTTCTAGCCGTGGCCGGTCAATTAAATCTCGTCGACGTCGCGTGCAGGAAGCGAGCGCGGCGTGCACCGGAGGCTTCCTTTCCGATTTCGAGTGGGTGGACCCTAACTCTCGAAATTTATTAGACTGTGCGACCGACCGGCTAATCTTCTGGTTGGTAAGCCCGAGCGTGCAACTATTATCCGCGGCGTACAACCACAAGCGGGTTCCTCGTGGGCCACGTCTGTTCGTCCATCGTGTTGAAATCGGGTAAAAAAAAAAAAGCGAAGAACAAACAACCTGTTTCGAGATTTATGCGGAATTTCAGCCACGAAGGGGAATTCGTCGCGAATACGAATGAAACGTAAACAGTAGCTCAAAAACATAGGGGGGATTCTTCGCTTTGGCTTGTTATATGTTAGAGGCTCTTAAGTGATTCAATTTTACCGGGTGTATTACGTGTCTCTGTTAGTTCAGATGTTTTCGCTGCTTTTGGACAATGTTCTTTCCCGAGGCTTTAATGGTTGTATTGCTAGGGGACGTTTCAGTGAATATTTTCGCATTAAATGTAGATATTGAGGATAATCCGATGAGAGAATAATAGAGAACAGCCAGAGTTGTATCGTCCATTTGTTGGGAATTTTTGAAATACCGTATTTTTTGTCATTTTTTTAGATACACGTACATAGAGAACGTTAAAATGATAGTAGACTATTGTAGTTTTGAATCGTGCGACTTGTGTTGATATCTACTGCACAATACGGTTTGGAATAGGTTACAGGATTCACAGAGTGAACCATGCAAGGTGGTAGCTCTACATTATTCCGTTATCAGTGGTAATAATAGACACTCTATAAAAGTGTAAAAATATTTTCATATCAAATATGTTGACAAATATCTATCTGTAGTATTCTAGTAATATTTTATGTCACGATATCAAAAAATTAAATTCTTTATAAATTCATATTACAGTTCTTCTCTTATTTATATTATACGTAAAGAAAGTATAAATATGAAATTCAAAATTATCACGAAGGAAAGAATTAAAAAAAAGCGCGAATTTTAAATCCGAAGTATTTGAACTTCAAGAATAACCAACTACAATCCCTATCACTAATTGTAGATCCTCACTGAATCATTAAAAATAGAATGTTCAACTGTCCAACAGCGAGCATTCTCGAAAACCTCGATTCTAAATTTCTCCGAATTCGCTGAAAAATTATCAGAGTGCAGCTTTTACAATAAATTCGTTCGTCATTCTTATCTTTGCGGCATCGTGCGAGATTAAATCTCTCTCTCTCTCTCTCTCTTTCAAAAAAAAGAAGAAGAAAAATAAAAAACGTTGGGCAGTTTTACATGTCAACGTGTCTGTGTACGCGAGTGTTGTATATTCAGGATTTCTCATTCAAAGTCAGCATAAAATTCGTATTACCCCTCTCTGGCACAGGTTCACGCAGTCCAGCACCGAGCTGCACCTCGCTTATCGCCGAATATATGCCTGGAATCTGGGCGCTGCATCGTAAATTCAACTGGCCGTTCGAGAAATGGAACGGTTGAAGATTCACCCTGATCTCGATCCACTGAAGATTCTCTGTCTGATCGGTATGGGGCGAAGAAGCGTCGTTACGATCCCACCTCTGCTGTGGATACGGCTGTGGCTGATGATTCGTGTACGACTCCACCTGGACAGAGAGAAATCATCATGAAATTTCATCTTGGCCTCACGAAAGGAATCGAATGAAAGGAGGTAAACAATCGAAATTAATATTCACATTTTGTCCACTATTTATTCACTTATTTTTGTTTTCGGCTATATGTGTACTACATGTATAAATGACACGAAATTTAATATGCTTGGGTCTAATTAATTAATATGTAAATTCTATAATACATACGATGGTTTGATATTATTTTCTTCTTCTCTTTTTTTTTTTTTTTTGTTTTATTAGAACATGAAAGTACAAATGAATGGAGAGAATAACGGTTTACACAGGAAAAGAGTAAAAAGGAAATAGTAAGAAGTTAAGAGAAAGAGAGAGTGACCGGTAAAATGTAAATCTGCTTTTAACGAAATCCGTTCATCTGGAATCGGGAAGCGAGCCCTTCGTTTCGTTCGTTCGATCCTTCCTTTCCACCCACACCCCTCCCCACTCCATTTAGTACCGCATGCTGGTACCGGCCGTTAAGCACAAAGACGACTCCTTCCAGTTCGATGAAAAGTCGAAAGACTCGGCGACCGTTTCCGGCACCTTCGTGTTCCTCCGATTAACGTTTTTTCTTCTGTTAAATCCGTCTCTCTTGTGAGAGAAGCATCTCCCTCTAGCTAACTCGTAATATTCACAAGGAATGCCCGAGTTCCGAGTTTCTTAATGGATCATTATCGTTCTAAGAACTGGCGATGGCGTCGAAAGTAAGTTATTCGGTTGAGCGGCCCACGGCGAGTTGAATCGCAAGTGGATCGGCTAAGATTTACTTAAAACTTTCCAGCGAGGAAAGATGCTGACAAGTTTCCTGATACTCCTGAACGTGCATAGCAATGTACACTCGCACTTTTAACGGCTTTAATGGTAGTTTGAGCTTCGAGAATTATTCTTCCGGGATTTAACACATTCAATGTGTTTCGATCATAATAGTTGTCCATAGTAACGTATACATTCCGACGATTGGCATTTTTCGCATCGAATGTGTCAGAAACTATTAGTAAACGACAGCCCATATAAGTATCTAACATGAACCATTACGTTACATTGCAGATTTATTCCATTTATTAAATATTTTGAAAAACAAATACTCTGCTTCGGATATTTTGTATATTTTTGAATATCGCAGATATATATATTTTGTAAACTTTTGCGCATTAGAGTTTCTCATAAATACATAAATATCAACAGTCCGCCTGTTAAATAAATATTCAAACCTTCTCAAACTTCATCTGCGATCTTTTTAAAATTTCACTCAGAGTTTCGTCATCTTCTTCAATACTTTTTCTCAAATACAAATTTATTTGACATACTTGAATGTTTGTTACCTTGATCAATTTACTATGTGCTACATCATTTCCTCCGAAACACTTTAGCAAAGTAAATATTAGGTATAGAATGAGATGGGCGATCTTTGCGCGTGTAATTAGCATTTACGTAAGTTAACCGGAAAATATCTCGGAGCAATCAGGCTTATGTGAGTTAAGCAACAATGGATAGTATGGTTAATAAGCGGAGATAGACCTAGAAGTGAACTCATCAGTGAGATTAGAGTATTTCTGCTCTTTGGATATGGAAACATTCGGCATTAGGAATATGCTGGTAGTTTGAGTAGGTCGATGATTAGGATGGAATCTGTGAGGAGCGGGGATTTCGTCGAGTTAATAGGAATCGGTGGTTACCAGAAGAGATAGTATTATGCGCTAATGATTCACTTCTTCGACATGCTAAAACGAACAATTTTGTTAATGTTTCTCGTACAATCGAGTATGTAGAGAATTGTAAATTTGGAGTAAGAGAAACATAACACAACATCCCCTTCTGTCAGTCTAATTTATTATCATTGAAATGTTTATCTCTCTGGTTATTATTATTATTATTATTATTATTATTATTATTATTATTATTATTGCCATTATTATAGGTTATTATTTAGTGACTTCTGTCCACTAAAAGAATATATACTAAAAGTATAATTCATAAAAGTATCTTCGTTTTAATATCATATCAAATTGTTAACTAATCATTATCATTTATAATTTAATAGTTTATTAGCTATAAAGCTTTTTGTTTGATTACAAACTGTAAAATGTTCGATTTGTACAACATTTTGGATCTATTACTGAGAACTTGTGGTTACTATGTTTAGATAGTTATTATTGTTAATCTTGACCAAGCTACGTTGTAATTTGCAAGAGAGATAGAAATTGTTACAACTTTGTTTTTTCTTGTTGCATTGCCGTGCAATCTTCATTATCTATTCGAAACGAGTACAAACAAGGCAGGAAGTTATCTTTTTAGGGATTAAAGTGTAAGATACTTTCCTTTTGTAAATTTTGTCTCATTCCCTTCGTAAATTTTTTTTACACTTTTTACCATTTCCTTTCCACTTCCACTATAATGTTGATTTAATTAATGTATTTTACTAAAACGTAAAATTTTTTATCTTGAATATTAAATTAAAAATAATTACAAAAATATAACGACACGAGTCACCGATGATAAATGTGACTTTTTACATCATGGTAAAACAAAAATTTATAAAATACGTGATACGCGAAATAAAAGAGAGGGCAACAAAAATTGCTAAAAATATTACTTTTGTTATACAAATAAAGAAAGTACAAAGTTACCTCGCAATAATAATGAAATTAATTTTAACAAGAACCTTACATTATTCACAAAACCCATAACGTAACTTGGCACGCGAATATGCGCGTTATTTATGGAATGTTTTCGGAATAACGTTGCTCTTACGATGCTACATTATAAAATCGATGCTGAACGCAAATTAAACAAATTGAATTCAGTGTACCGGATATTCCGATGAATCTTTTAACAAACATCGCTTTAAAATCCGGTTCGAGGCATGAATCAATGTTTCGCTATAACGCGTTGCGAGTAATGCATGACGCAACCAGTACTTGTATAAGAACAAATACCCGGGCATTTCTGTCGTGTTCGCGACCGATGAGTTACGCGTTTTTAAATGTAACAAACGTTCCTATCCTGCGCGATTTATTATTATTTCGATGAACATTCTTCATAAATTCGAGTAACCGTGGAAATGGAAAAGCGAATTGCGCGAAAACACGGAAGGAAATAGAAGAGCGTCCGAACATCGTCTCGTGCATCTCGTTCATCTCTCTCTCTCTCTCTCTCTCTCGCTCCTTTTTTTTTATTTGTTTCGTGTTTCGTTGCAAGAGAGGGTGTAGGAAACCGAATTCAGAAACTGCGATGGAATTTATTTAGAAAAAAAAGGAAGGGGCACACGAAAGCTGCATAAATGAAAGCTAAAAGCGGAGGAAAGTCAGAGAAAACATTGTATTCTGTTTCTGTAACGAGTTTTTCTCCCTTTCTGTTTTGTTGTAATGGAAGGGAGTCGGTGGTTTTTTCGAATATATCCTTGCATTTCTATCGATATGCGCATTAAAATTCATTATTTCATATTGGATTGCTAGAGGAGTATGTTTATGCTCTTTTTCTGACAAGATTCGTTGATTTTGACTTGTTTCACTGGTCGTGCAAGGCGTGTGGCATAAATTTCGCGTGTATAGGTACGACATAACGAGTTAGAAAGGGACATGAAATTCAAATTTATTAAATGAATAAAATATATCACATAGATGCACCTTATATATTGTATTAATATTATGCACATCATTTACTTCATTATGACTAGTGTACAAGGAAATTCAATTTGAAAATTTATCTACATTAACTAAACATATATACTGCTTTATTTTTATTTTTTTGAAACTTTATTGTGTGAAACACAAACTTCATTCTTTTGAAAACGAGACCTTAAATGTAACAATTTTATTCTACATTTTTACTTATTTTGACCTGAACAATAACCTCTTATTGATTATTCATTGGTATTCTATCGATAATTGGACTATATATATTTAATAAGTTTCTAAATTCGATTTATCTTAAAATCGAAACATATGAACAAATATTGTTTGATTCATTTTTAATTTTTCAAACTTGATTTTCTCGAAAACTAAGTCCCGTAAAAAAAATTTTACTTTATGTTTTCATATCATTTTTTCATGTAGAATTACACTTTTGCCTATTGAATTATGATTACCGGGAAATAATGATGGAAACAACGAACGAAAGGAATACCCGCAAGCGTAACGAAGCCCAGCGACAGTTACCCCGAAAAAGTTTCGCCAGCAATCGCAGTCCGCAATGAAGAATCAGGGTTACCGTCGTGAAATTACATCTGTGGGGACTTCGATCATAGACAATCGGCAGAAGCCATTTCTTCGAAACCTTTGAAAAGAATCCTCGTTAGCTTATTGTCGACGAGGAACGTCGTTCTCGACTGTACCAGCAACGATTCGTGTCGAATTCTACTTTACGGTGTACGCGTTTCAAACTTCTTCCAACTTTTCTCGCCGTAACGCGTTAAGGATTGCCATCGATTAATTCCAGCCGTAGAACATGGCGGAAAAGCAGAACACGGAAAAATTCATTTCCAACGACTACGTGTGTACATCGCTAGCGTTTAACGATTTGTCAAATCTGTGTCAGTCAGAGATAAATGTGTACGCGTTGGATACTCGTTGCAAGCACCGGTACTGGGATTTTCTTGGTTGAAAAATTATGCAATTCACACCTTTTTCGGTTGTGTGTCTAAGACGAAAAAATAGAATCTTGATGATTAATGGTCGTGCAGTGTTGATGGTTACCATTCTGCTTGTAAGATACAATGGTTCACGAAAGTATTTGAACACTTACAAATATTTTTTAGAAATATATTATACGTTTCACATAAAATATTTTGAGATTTCATCGATAATAAGACACGATTGTTATGATTATATTGGTGATACTTTAAATGAATCTGAAAATGTGCATGGGAGCTACAAGATATTTACTTTAAATATATGCAATAATCTCGACATTCGATTGTATTCTTTATTATATAACAAGCCGTAAATACTTCGTAAAAACTTCTATATATTTATTTT